GTTTTTTCTCTGGCCAGAAGTTCGATGGCAAATCCTCCCTCTTCAAGTTGGCGATCCAACGACCAACCCGTCCGTGTGGGAGGAAGCCGGAGTACCCAGAGAGAACTCATGCATGCTCAGGGAGAACATGCAAACTCCATGTAGAAAGACCCCGGTCCAGGAATCTAACCCAGAACCTTCTAGCTACATGGCAGCAGTGCTACCCACTGTGCCACTGAGCAGCCCAGGATAATATAAATCATATTAAGTTTAAATCTAAATCATGTTAACTACAGCTTTTCACATTGTTCTATTAACAGGCTGCAGTTTCCCTGAATGTTACTTTTCTTATTGAAATCTGAACAGCATGTAGGGACAATTCAACATGATCATACAGTCAGATTGGTTCAATTTTTTTTTCTTCTACTGTACAGCTTAACTTTTACATGTTTGCTTCTTCCAAACTGCTCAGGTGTGACAGTAGCACCAACAAGTTAACAGAAAACACTTAAAGCTTCAAATAAAAACTGAGTTTTTTTGGCACAATTGGAGCATTCTTCTTTTTCTTCTTTATCCTGATGAGCCTATTAGTGGTTGTCTATAGATAATAGAGTTTATTCCAAGAATTTAATGTTTCAGAATCCAATGAAAGAAACATAAAGCTCTTATTTACACAAAACACTAAGTATCGTATAACAACAAATCAGGCAGGTGATCCATCCTCACTAAAATACTAATTAATTCACCTCTGAGATACAACTTTAACTTACAGTGGAGTGTGTTTTACTTTGCTAATGAAGATGAATAACCCGGTGAGGGAAAATACAAATAGAGCAAAGAGAAGCTTAATCTATTCCTTACATGGAATCCAACAGTTTAAATTAAAATAGAGATATTTCCTGCACTTAAGTCATTTTAACTGAGTTCTTGTGCCTGACGGGTTCTAAAGATGCTTACATGTAAAATGAGGAAACCCTGTTATTCATTTGTATTGTATTACTAGAGAAATAAAGAGTTTAACTGAACCATTTGGATTAAAATGCTGAGTCAGGATTTTTTTTTTTTTTTTTTTTTATTAAGCATTTTCCTCCCATAATGAGGAACTGAATCTGTAAAACAGTGAAATCAGAACAATCTATGTATGGCATTAGAAAAGAATTTATCTGGGTCTTTTTTTGCAGAGAAAAAGATAAAATATCTGTGATACTTGGAAATAATTGACACATTTTCACTCATAATTGAAATCAGCAGTTAATGAAATACTAGAGGAAGCTATCAGAGGCCAGAAACAGATTTTAATTCATCTTTGGACGCCTCCTGTGCTAATTAAATGTTTTGAACCTTGGCTCATTAAAGTTGTTCATCCATCAAAGGAGGTTTTTAATGACGAGGAGGAAAACGCGAGTCCTGCAGCAGCTCCAGAAACGATTGCTGATGCACGGTTGGATTTTCTATTCACCTTTTCCTCTGATGTGTCCAGTTTTCCCACCTCTGCTTTCAGACGTGTTGCTGAAAGGCCTCTGCAGTGCTGACAGCTGCTTTCTCTGCATCGAGGCTCTACCGCTGCAGGTTTGGTGGTTTTTCTGAGCCATAGTGGACCGTTCAGCTGAACCGTCTCCTGTTCTTGGCAGGAGTGATTGACAGCTCACTCAGGCTGGAGGACAAGTCGCCCACCTAGTGAACGTCATACTGTGGGGGCGCCAGGTCCATTGTGCTCCCAGTGACAGTGTGGTACAGCTGCAGAGGGAGGTGGAGGGGCAATGTGCATCCAACCGTGATGAGAAGATAATGGGAAAGCTAAGAGCATCATTACGTCTCTCCTCCCCCATTTATCCAAGAGGAACAGATGAAGTGGATGGATCTGGGAGTCTGTCAAAAAAAAACACCACAAAGCAGAATCCAAGAAGCTCAACATATTTTATTGCTTCGGATACAAATGTTTACAACTGTGGTCTGTGAGTGGCATCTAAAGCAGCCAAAACAAGCAGAAACTGAAGGGTTTCCAGAAATTATTGATGAGATCAGAGCAAACCCAAAGCAGAAACATAAGAGGGAAGCAGCAGCTTGAGATAAAAAAAAAACAAAAATCGACACATTCAGAAACACTGATCTTCTTGGTGCTGTCAGGAAAAAAAAGCTGCTTTGGAAGCAATTTTCCAGCTGAAGTCCTGGAAGGTTTCTTAAATAAAAAAAACAGGCAGACTTTTGCAAGGCAGCAGTTATTAGACTGTAAAAGAAATAAATTACATTTCAGTAGTTTGGTTTTGAAGACAAATCTCATCCCTGATGATTATTGTAAAAATGAAAAAGAAAATCTTCATCTATTTGTTCTAGGGTTGTAATGAACCCCGG